GGAGCAGATGCGGCGGAGGCGAAGGAATTGGGAATAGGGGATAGCATTTTTGCAGGAAGGTGGGTGGGAGGAGGAGTATTCTAGGTAGCTGTGGGAGTCGGTGGGCTTGAAATGAATATCAGTTTATAGGTGGTTGCCCGAGATGGAGAATACCGCTCACGCTCGGATATAGCGCAGTTTTTCTGCCGCCTCCGCCTCCACGATTACTTCTTCAATGTGAGCCTAACCCTTCCTCTACTGACCCCTTCTCCCGCCTCCAACACACCCCCTCCTCCTGGACACCACTCCAAGGCCTCCTACCCTCCCTCGACCTCTTCATCTCCAACTGCCGTAGAGACATCAATCGCCTCAACCTCTCCACCTCTCTCACCCATTCCAACCTCTCCCCCGCAGAACATGCAGCCCTCCGCTCCCTCCGCTCCAATCTCAACCTCACCATAAAACCCGCGGACAAGGGAGTCACTGTTGTAGTATGGCGCACTGACCTCTACATCGCCGAGGCCAGACACCAACTCTCCGACACCTCCTCCTACCGCCCCCTTGATCATGACCCCACCCCCGAGCACCAAACCATCATCTCCCAAACCATCCACAACCTCATCACCTCAGGTGACCTCCCACCCACGGCCTCCAACCTCATCGTTCCCCAACCCCGCACCGCCCGCTTCTATCTCCTTCCCAAAATCCACAAACCTGAATGCCCTGGTCGACCCATTGTCTCCGCCTGATCCTGCCCCATCGAACTGATCTCTAACTATCCGGACTCCATTTTCTCCCCCTTGGTCCAGGAACTCCCTACCTATGTCCGTGACACCACCCATGCCCTCCACCTCCTCCAGAACTTCCAATTCCCCGGTCCCCAACACCTCATCTTTACCATGGATGTGCAGTCCCTCTACACCTGCATTCCCCATACAGATGGCCTAAAGGCCCTCTGCTTCTTCCTGTCCCGCAGGCCCGACCAGTCCCCCTCCACTGACATTCTCATCCGCTTAGCCGAACTCGTCCTCACCCTCAACAACTTCTCTTTCAATTCCTCCCACTTCCTACAGACAAAGGGGGTAGCCATGGGTACCCGCATGGGCCCAAGCTACGCCTGCCTCTTTGTAGGTTACGTGGAACAATCCCTCTTCTGTACCGACACTGGCCCTAAACTCCACCTCTTCCTCCGTTACATTGATGACTGTATCGGCGCCGCCTCGTGCTCCCACGAGAAGCTTGAACAGTTCATCCACTTCACCAACACCTTCCACCCAACCTTAAGTTCACCTGGACCATCTCTAATACCTCTCTCTCCTTCCTGGACCTCTCTGTCTCCATCTCGGGCAACCACCTAGAAACCGATATTCATTTCAAGCCCACCGACTCCCACAGCTACCTAGAATACTCCTCCTCCCACCCACCTTCCTGTAAAAATGCCATCCCCTATTCCCAATTCCTTCGCCTCCGCCGCATCTGCTCCCAGGATGAGGCACTCCACTCCCGTACATCTCAGTTGTCCTCGTTTATCAAGGACCGCAAATTCCCCCCCTCTGTGGTCAAGAACGCCCTCAACTGCGTCTCCCACATCTCCCACAACTCATCCCTCACACCCCGTCCACACAATAAGAACCAAAAAAGAATCCCCCTCGTCCTCACGTACCACCCCACCAACCTTCGGATCCAACGCATCATCCTCCGACACTTCCGCCATCTGCAATCCGACCCCACCACCAAAGACATCTTTCCCTCTCCACCCTTATCTGCTTTCCGGAGGGACCACTCTCTCTGTGACTCCCTTGTCCGCTCCACACTCCCCTCCAGCCCCACCACACCCGGCACTTTTCCCTGCAACTGCAGGAAGTGCTACACCTGCCCCCATACCTCCTCGCTCACCCCCATCCCAGGCCCCAAGAAGACTTTCCACATCAAGCAGATGTTCACCTGCACATCTGCTAATAGAACATAGAACATAGAACATTACAGCGCAGTACAGGCCCTTCGGCCCTCGATGTTGCACCGACCTGTGAAACCAATCTGAAGCCCATCTAATCTAAACTATTCCATTATCATCCATATGTTTATCCAATGACCATTTAAATGCCCTTAAAGTTGGCGAGTCTACTATTTTTGCAGGCAGGGCATTCCACGCCCTTACTCCTCTCTGAGTAAAGAACCTACCTCTGACATCTGTCCTATATCTATCACCCCTCAATTTAAAGCTATGTCCCCTCGTGCTAGCCATCACCATCCGAGGAAAAAGTCTCCCACTGTCCACCCTATCTTATCGTCTGCTCATCTTGTATGTCTCTATCAAGTCACCTCTTAACCTTCTTCTCTCTCACGAAAACAGCCTCAAGACCCTCAGCCTTTCCTCATAAGACCTTCCCTCCATACCAGGCAACATCCCAGTAAATCTCCTCTGCACCCTTTCCAATGCTTCCACATCCTTCCTATAATGCGGTGACCAGAACTGTATGCAATACTCCAAGTGCGGCCGCACCAGAGTTTTGTACAGCTGCAAGATGACCTCATGACTCCGAAACTCAATCCCTCTACCAATAAAACCTAACATACTGTACGCCTTCTTAACAACGCTATCAACGTGGGTGGCAGCTTTCAGTGATCTATGCACATGGACACCGAGATCTTTCTGCTCATCCACACCACCAAGAATTTTACCATTAGCCCAGTACTCTGTATTCCTGTTACTCCTTCCAAAGTGAATCACCTCACACTTTTCCGCATTAAACTCCATTTGCCACCTCTCAGCCCAGCTCTGCAGCTTATCTATGTCCCTCTGTAACCTGCAACATCCTTCCGCACTATCCACAACTCCACCAACTTTGGTGTCATCCGCAAATTTACCAACCCATCCTTCTACGCCCTCATCCAGGTCATTTATGAAAATGACAAACAGCAGTGGCCCCAAAACAGATCCTTGAGGTACACCACTAGTAACTGAACTCCAGGATGAACATTTCCCATCAACCACCACCCTCTGTCTTCTTACAGCTAGCCAATTTCTGATCCAAACCGCTAAATCACCCTCAATCCCATGCCTCCGTATTTTCTGCAAACGCTTACCGTGGGGAACCTTATCAAACGCTTTACTGAAATCCATATACACCACATCAACCACTTTACCCTCATCCACCTGTTTGGTCACCTTCTCAAAGAACTCAATAAGGTTTGTGAGGCACGACCTACCCTTCACAAAACCGTGTTGACTATCCCTAATCAAATTATTCCTTTCTAGATGATTATAAATCCTATCTCTTATAATCCTTTCCAACACTTTACCCACAACCGAAGTAAGGCTCACTGGTCTATAATTACCAGGGTTGTCTCTACTCCCCTTCTTGAACAAGGGGACAGCATTTGCTAGTCTCCAGTCTTCTGGCACTATTCCTGAAAACAATGACGACATAAAGATCAAAGCCAAAGGCTCTGCAATCTCCTCTGTAGCTTCCCAGAGAATCCTAGGATAAATCCCATCCGGCCCAGGGGACTTATCTATTTTCACACCTTCCAGAATTGCTAACACCTCCTCCTTATAAACGTCAATCCCGTCTAGTCTAATAGACTGTATCTCAGTATTCTCCTCGACTACATTGTCTTTTTCTTGTGTGAATACTGACGAAAAATATTCATTTAGCACCTCTCCTATCTCTTCGGAGTCCACGCACAACTTCCCACTACTGTCCTTGACCGGCCCCAGTCTTACTCTAGTAATGTGGTATACTGCATCCGCTGTACCCGTTGTGGCCTCCTCTACATCGGGGAAACCAAGCGGAGGCTCGGGGACCGCTTTGCAGAACACCTACGTTCAGTTCGCAATAAACAACTGCACCTCCCAGTCACGAACCATTTCAACTCCCCCTCCCATTCCTCAGACGACATGTCCATCCTGGGCCTTCTGCAGTGCCACAACGATGCCACCCGAAGGTTGCAGGAACAGCAACTCATATTCCGCTTGGGAACCCTGCAGCCCAATGGTATCAATGTGGATTTCACAAGCTTCAAAATCTCCCCTCCCCCTACCGCATCCCAAAACCAGTCCAGCTCGTCCTGGCCTCCCTAACTTGTTCATCCTCCCACCTATCCCCTCCTCCCACCTCAAGCCGCAGCCCCATCTCCTACCTCCTAACCTCATCCCGCCTCCTCGACCTGTCCGTCCTCCCTGGACTGACCTATCCCCTCCCTAACTCCCCACCTATACTCATCTTTACTGGCTCCATCCCCGCCTCTTCGACCTGTTTGTTTCCTCTCCACCTATCCTCTCCTCTATCCATCTTCTATCCGCCTCCCACTCTCTCCCTATTTATTTCAGAACCCCCTTCCCCTCTCCCATTTCTGATGAAGGGTCCAGGCACAAAACGTCAGCCTTTCTGCTCCTATGATGCTGCTTGGCCTGTTGTGTTCATCCAGCTCTGCACCTGATTGATTGATTGATTTGATTTGATTTATTGTCACGTGTACTTAAGTACAGTGAAAAGCTTTGTTTGTGCGCACACAGGCACATCATAGTAAGCAAGGACGTACAGAGTATAGGGTGAAAAAACAATTGGACAGAGTAAGGCATACTGGTTAGACCGCTCGGGACATGTGTGAGGCAAAATCAACATTAACAACGTCAGTATTATTTGAAGTTCGAGAGTTCATTCATACTTATGATAATGGCAGGGAAGAAGCTGAACCTGCTGGTGTGTATGTGTGTCTTCAAGCTTCTGTACCTTTTGCCTGAGGCTGCTGGAGAGCATTGTCGGGGTGGGATGGGCCTTTTCATGGCAATGAGATGGATTGGAAGGTTGGCTTCCACGACGGTCTGGGCTGTGCACACAACCTTCTGTAGTTTGTAATGGTCCTCAGCACAGCAGTTGCCATACCAGGTCATTATGCACCGGACAATATGCTTTCTATGGTGCATCTGTAAAAGTTAGTGAGAGTCCTTATAGACATGCCAAATTTCCTGAACTGCCTTAGAAAGAAGACGGTGTTGTTGTGTCTTCTTGACTGTTGAAGTCCAGGACAAGTTGTCGGTTATTGTCACTTCCAGGAACTTGATGCTCTCAACCCTCTCAACCTCTGCTCCATTGATGTAGGTGGAGTCGTGTTCTCCTCCTTGCTTTCTGAAGTCAGTGATCAGTTCTTTAGTTTGCTGACATTGAGAGGGAGATTTTTTGTCATTGCACAACTTCACCAAGCCCTGTATTTCCTTTCTTTATTCTGAATCATCGTTTTTTGATATCCGTTCTACCACAGTGGTGTTGTCAGCAAACTGATAGATGGCGTTCATTCAGAAATTGTCACATGCCTTGCCAATTTTTGGCAGATTGGCGACAGAGTAAGACACTCCTGCCTGAGTTCCTCTGCTCTGCCTGTTGTTTTTCTTTCTTTTTCTTTTTCTTTTTTTCTCTCATTTTCCCTCCCCTTAGCCCCAGCGGCAAATTCTGGATCAGCAGCAGGGGCTGGGAGCAAGTCACAGAGCAGCGTGGGCAGCGAGTCTTGGAGTAGTGCGTATGCTGTGAGTCCCAGTGCAGCACATGGTCAATGAGTCCCAGGCAGAAGCCGGTGCAGGGGAGGCAGTCCTGCAACTGACCTTGGAGCAGCTGAGTGTTGGCATCGAGCAGACTGGAGGCTTGAGTGGAGGGGGAACAGCTGTTGGTCTAGACAGTCAGACCACATGCAGAGGTTCTGCATTGAGCTGCTGCAATGTCATGTTTATTTGAAAATTTTACCCGATTGTAATGTCATTCCTTTTACAATGTCTTATTCCTAACTTACTTTTTAAACTCTGTAAAGTAATGCAACTATTTTTTATTCCTTTTTTGTATCCAAGATTTTTACTGAGGTACTTGTACCTAAGATGGTGTCATAAGAGGCATACATTGTTAAAGATTTTCACTCTATTCCTGTACTTCTACAAAGAAGTACATGTGACAATAAAAGATGTTCTGTTTTATTCAGAGATTTATGAGGTTGGAAGACATTAGAGATACATCAGGGTTATGAGGCCAGACAAGAGTATGGATTTGGGAAATTTGTGAGGCTGGAGGGGATTACAGAGATAGGAAGGATTGTGAGGCTGGAGGATTTTACAGAGATAGGGATGTTTGTGAGGATGTAGGAGATTAGAGATCAGGAGTATTGTAGGGACTTGAGGAGGTTGCATAGATAGGATGTTTGTGAAGTTGGAGGAGGTTACAGTGTTAGGATTGTGAGGCTGAAGGAGATTACAGAGAAGGGGAGTTTTGTCATATATGGAGGAGGTTGCAAAGATAGGGAGTTTTGAGGTATTGCACAGCTAGGGACAGTGGTTGTGGCTGGAAGAATTTACAAATGTAGCAAGAGTTCTGAGGCTAAAGTCGATAATAGAGATTGTGAGAATTCTGAGGCTGTAGAGATTACAGAGGTAAGGAGAATTTTCATTCTGGAAAGGATGACAGAGATTTATTTATTTATTTCCATTATACTTCATTTGGAGAGAGAAATTGTCACAACTTTTGGTCACCACTTTCAGGTAATTGGCATATAATGAAGGGTGAAAATATGAAGATTATTTCACAATATAAATTGAGAAGAATTTGCAGACCAGGAACTCAAAACAAGTTCTGACAGTCAGAAGAGTCATCAGAATCTGAATATCGTTGGCATTTAACTGTGGAAGGAAAAAGGTTTGTATGTTGTGTCTGTAGGAAAAATAATTCCGCTATGTTTGTAACTCTAAAAGCAGCTAGATGTTTAAACTCATGGTTAGATCACCCCTGGTGTATGTGTTCAGTTCTGGGGTCTACAGCTGAGGAAGGAAATATTGGGGTATTGGCCTGAAAGGGGCACAGATTTATCCAATAACATGTTGTCTCTTTGAAAGAACTGTCATATTTTGTCCCAATCACCCACTTTATGATTTTAACTATAAATTCCTCATTTTCAAAATTCTACAGAACTTCCTTCTAACATTGCTTATGGACTGGAATTCCAGCACCCTTTCAGGTGGAATGTTCCAGATCCTGACAACTCTGTTGTCCTGAATATGCTGAAGTCCATGTTGAGTATTTTGGGTTATAAAGGGCTGAACTGAAAGATGAAATGCTGTTCCCTGAGCTCCCAATTAGCTGTATTGGAACAGTACAGGAGGTTGTGGTCATAGCAGATGTGAGCAGACAACTTAAATGATAACGCTGCACTGTGAATGCTGTTTGGCTCAACGAGAGTGCTTTGGAGTTGGGTGAAAACAGATAGTGAGGTGAGAGAGGGAGAAGGTGAACTTGAAAGATTGAGTGTGGTACTCAGTCTCAGTTTTGGCAGTTCAGAGAGTGACACGATCCCAATGGAAACAGCCAATTATTAAGTGATACCTGCAGGGAATTCTCTTCAAGATTTTTGAAGTGTAATATTCAGCTTAAGTACAGACAGGAGCTTTCAATTATGTTTGAAACGAGGGATAAATCCCCAGCTCAATTACATTCTCTTCAATGGAGGAACTAGGATATTCTTGAGAGAAGACATGACAGGAGACCTCATATCCCTGGCGTGGTAATATCCCCATCTTGCACAATGTGGGAAATAAGGGACACTTCCAATGTCCCTGATGGCTACGTGTGCAAGAAGTGTGTCCATCTGCAACTACTCGATAACCTTTTCGGAGTTGGAGCTGTGGGTGGAGTCATTGTGGAGCATCTGCAATACAGAGAATTTCATAGACTGCACAGTTAATTTCATAGAATCCCTACATTGTGGAAACAGGCCCTTCAGCCCAACAAGTCTACACTGACCCTCAGAGCATCCAATCCAGACGCATTCCCTTACAACCCACCTAACCTAAACACCCCTGAACATGCTGGGCAATTTAGCATGGCTAATCCACCTAGCCTGCATATCTTTGGACTGTGGGAGGAAACTCACGCAGACACGGGGAGAATGTGCAAACTCCACACAGACGGTCGCCCAAGGGTGGAATCGAACCCAGATCCCTGGTGCTGTCAGGCAGCAGTGCTAACCACTGTGCCACCGTAATCTTTAGCGGGGGCAATTTGCAACAGCGTTTATTCTCATGCTTGTTCCTCGGTGGGGGCAGGGCAATTTGAAGAGGAGCATTTACACAGAAAACTGAAGCCAAGAAAAATATTTGTCTTCCTTAGATTTCTAAACGGGGACTGAGAGTGATTTTTTCTTTTGTGAATTCATTTTACAGGATATAAATTGAGAAGAATTTGCAGACTGGGAACTTAAAACAAGTTCTGAGAGTCAGAGCAGTCATTAGGATCAGAATATTGCTGGTATTTAACCGTGGAAGGAAACAGGTTGGTATGTTGCATCTGTAGGAAAAATAATTCCGCTATGTTTGTAACTCGAAAAGCAGTGAGATGTTTAAATTTGTTGTTAGATCACCCCTGGTATATGTGTTCAGTTCTGGGGTCTACAGCTGAGGAAGGAGATATTGGCCTGAGAGGATAAAGAGGATAAAGATGAATGCGTGTCTGGAGAAATGGTAAACAAGAGAAGGGTTTAGAATCTTGAAGCATTCGGACAGTTTCTGAGGAAGGTGGAACCTGTGTAAGTCGTCTGGTTGCACCAGGCAGAGCCAAGACAAATATTCTTGTCAAGGATTTTGCCAGTCCCATTGATGAGGTTTTAAACTAGTATGGCAGTGGGATGGGAGCCGAAGTGTCAGCTGGGACATGTCAGATTCAGATCAGGAAATGGGAGGTCAAATCTTAGGAGGAATTGAAGGGGATGGGGAGAAAACAGGAACAGGGTTGAGTTACAGGTCTATAAAATGCTTCTCCTTCATTCCTGCCTCTTCCACCGATTGGGTAATAGTCATACAGCATGGAAACAAACTTTTCAGTCTAACTAGTCCAGGCCAACTCTGTTCCCAAACCAAATTAGTCGCGTTAGAACGTAGAACATAGAACAGTACAGTACAATACAGGCTGTTCGGCCCACGATGTTGTGCCAACCTATTATCTACGAAGATCAAACCACCCTGCAAACCCGACATTATACTATCATCCATGTGCCTATCCAAGAGTCGCTTAAAAATCTCTAAAGTATCTGACTTCACTACCCCTGCCAGCAGTGCATTCCACACACCCACCACTCTCTGTATAAAGAACCTATCACTGACATCTCCTCTATACCATCCTCCAATCATCTTAAAATTATGCCTCCTTGTCTTAGTCATTTCCGCCCTGGTAAAAAGTCTCTGGCTATCCATTCTACCTGTACCTCTCATCATCTTGTACACCTCTGTCAAGTCACCTCTCATCCTTCTTCTCTCCAATGAAAAAAGCCCTAGCTCCATCAACCTTACCTCATAAGGCCCGCCCTCTAGTCCAGGCAGCATCCTGATAAATCTCCTCCGTACCCTCTCTAAAGCTTCCACATTCTTCCTATAATGAGGCTACCAGAACTGAACACAATATTACAAGTGTGGTCTAACCAGGATTTTGTAAAGCTGCAGCATAACCTCGGGGCTCTTAAACTCAATTCCCCTGCCAATGAAAACCAACACACCATACACCTTCTTTACAACCCTATCAACTTGGGTAGCAACTTTGAGGGATCTATGGACGTGGACCCCAATATCCCTCTGTTCCTCCACGCTGCCAAGAATCCCGCCATTAACTCTGTATTCTGCATTCAAATTCAACCTTCCAAAATGAATCACTTCACATATTTCTGGGTTGAATTCCATCTGCCACTTCTTTGCCCAGCTCTGCGTCCTGTCAATGTCCCGATACAACGCACAACAGCCCTCCACGCTGTCCACAACTCCACCAACCTTCGTGTCATCGGCAAACTTACGAACCGACCCTTCCACTTCCTCATCCAAGTCATTTATAAAGATCACAAAGAGCAGAGGTCCCAGAACAGATCCCTGCGGAACACCACTGTTCACAGGCTGAATACTTTCCATCTACTACCACCCTGTGTCTTCTATTGGACAGCCAGTTTTGTATCGAGACAGCCAAATTTCCCTGAATCCCATGCCTCCTTACTTTCTGAATGTGTCTACCATGGGGAACCTTACCAAATGCCTTGCTAAAATCCATATACACCACATCCTCTCCTCTGCCTTCATCAATGTGTTTTGTCACATCCTTAAAGAATTCAAAAAGGCTTGTTGAGGCATGACCTGCCCCTCTCAAAGCCATGCTGACTATTTCTAATCAAACTGTGCTTTTCCAAATAATCATAAATACTATCTCTCAGAATCCTCTCCAATAATTTGCTCACCACAGAAGTAAGATTGACCGGTCTGTAATTCCCAGGATTATCCCTATTCCCTTTCTTGAACAAGGGAATGACATTTGCCACCCTCCAGTCATCTGGTACTATTCCAGTGGGCAGTGAGGACACAAAGATCATTGCCAAAGGGGCAGCAGTCTCATCACTTGCATCCCATAGTAACCTTGGGTATATCCGGTCTAACCCAGGGGACTTATTTATCCTCATGTTTTTCAAAATTTCTAGCGCATCCTCCTTCCTAACATCAACCTGTTCAAGCATATCTGTCTGTTTCATGCTGTCCTCACAAATGGCAAGGTCCATCTCATTGGTGAATACTGGAGCAAAGTATTCATTAAGGTCCTCCCCTACCACCTCTGACTCCGCGCACAAGTTCCCTCCATTATCCCTGATTGGCCCTACCCTCACTCTGGCCATCCTCTTGTTCCTCACATAAGGATAGAATGCCTTGGGGTTTTCCTTGATCCTACCCGCCAAGGCTTTTTCATACCCCCTTCTAGTTCTCCTAAGTCCATTCTTCAGTTCCTTCCTGGCTACATTGCAGACCTCTCGAGCCCTGTCCGATCCTTGCTTCCTCAACCTTAGGTGAGCTTCCTTCTTCCATATCCCTCCAAACCTTTCCTATTCAAGTGCTTAGCCAAATATCTTTTAAATGTTGTAAGTGTACCTGCACTCACAACTTCCTCTGGCAGTTCATTCCTCATGCAAACTACTCTCTGTTTAAAAAAAAAAGTTGCCCCTCATGTCCTTTTTTTAAATCTTTCTCCTCTCATTTTAAAACTTTGCTCCCTTGTTTTGAAATCCCCCCACCCAAATGAAAAGATCCTTGCTATTCACCTTGTCTATGCTCCTCATGATTTTATAAACCTCTAAGGTCACCCCTCAACTTCCTACACTCGTGTGAAAAAAGTCCCACCCTATTTTTATAACTCAAGCCCTCCATTCTTGTCAACATCTTGGCAAGTCTTTTCTGAACCTCTCCAATTTAATCATGTCCTTCCTACAGCAGGGTGACCAGAACTCTACACACTTTTCCAGAAGATGCCTCACCAACGTTCTGTGCAACCTTAACTCCTACAGTCAATGGTCTGAGCAACGAAAGCAAGTGTATTAAACGCCTTCTTAATCATCCTGTCTATCAGTGACGCACATTTTCAAAGATTTATATACCTGAATCTTGAGATCTGTCTGTACTACAAGACTACCCAAGGCCCTACCAATAATTGTATAAGTCCTGTCCTTGTTTGTTTTACGAAAATGCAGTACCTCACACTTATCCAAATTAAACTCCATCTGCCACTCCTCAGCCCATTGACCCAATTCATCAAGATCTCTTTGTAATATTAGATAATGGTTTTCACAGTCTACCATACCACCAATTTTGGTGTCATCAGCAAACTAAATTCTTATCCAAATCGTTTATGTAAATGACTGACAAAAACAGACCCAGTACCGATCCCTATAGAACATCACTGGTCAGAGGCCTCCAGTTCGAAAAACAATCCTCCACCACCACCCTCTATCTCCTACAGTCAAGCTAATTTTGTATCCAATTGGCACACATACCCTGAATCCCATCTGATCTAACTTTACTAATTAGTCGATCATGTGCTAAAATGTCACAAAGGCTTTCCTAAAGTCTATTTAAACAAAGTCTACCGCTCTGCTTTCATTAATCATTTTAGTCAGTTCCTCAAAAAACTGAATCAAGTTTGTGAGACACGGTTTCCCTTGCATAAAGCCACACTGCCGATCTTTCATCAGTCCTTGCCTCTCCAAATGGAGACAAGTTTTATTGTTCAGAATCAACTCCAACAACTTACCCACCACTCGTCAGACTGACAGGTCTATTTTTTCCAGGCTTCTCCTTACAGCCTTTATTAAATAAAGGCACAATATGAGTCACCCTCCAGTCCTCTGGCACCTTATCCATGGTGGTAAATAATACACTAAGGTCACTGCAATTTCTTCCCCAGAGATTTATCCACTGTTAATGTTTTCTAAGACCTCCAGCACTTCCTTTCCTGTAATGTAAACTGTTTTCAAAGCAGTAATAATTATTTCTCTGAGTTCTCTAGCCTTTTCTTTCTCCACAGTAAAAACTGACATGAAATATTCGTGTATTTTCTCTCCCAACTCCTGAGTTTCAACACGTAGTCAACCTTGTTGAGCTTTAAGGGACCCAATTTTCTCTCTAATTTATCTTTTGCTCTTTATGTACTTGTAGAATCTCTTTGGCTTAGCCTTGGCAAACAAGATTAAGGATATCTCATTCCCTGTTTGCCTTTCTGATTTCCCTCTTAAGAATGCCCCTACACCCTTTATACTCTTCAAGAAATTCAGTTGATCCCAATTATCTATATATGACCCTTTCCTATCCTCGATCAGAACCTGAATTTCTTTATTCATCCACTACTGCCTACTCT